TAAAATACTTTTTGATCTAGTTACAGTTTCTACTTCAGATCTCCAAAATTTTTATTGTAATTCAATTATAATTTTTTAAGTTCATTTTAATTCATTATAATTTACAACTCCAGCTGCAGCTCCTGTACACCTCAAAAGTTTCTTTTTGTTATTCTTTAAAGCCTCTTACTAATTTATTGAAATCTGTGAAGTTGCTCAGGACTAACACATTTGAATAATTTTGTACATTTGTCTGTGAGCACATTGGTCATATACTAATGAAAACAGTAGTTCCAGAACTTGTTTTTTTAATGTTAGTGTATGTTTTCTTGGCAAAAAACTGATGTTGGTGAAATATCAGTGAACAAAAAAGAATTCTGGAAAGCATGTTTACATTAATCAAAGCAGAGACATCGGTTAGCTGCAGGTTTTCCTGTCTAACAATAAGGGGCTTTATATTTGTCTGCACAGAATTACAGTCATGCAAAAGTTTGGGCGCCGGGTCAAATTCAATATTGTGTTGCTTTTATAAGCGGAAATAACACATCCTCTACAGAGAATACACTTCTGCACATTTTAAAATTATCTGCTGAATTTATCATATTGGAATACTAATAAAACATAATGTGTGGCCTGTGCAAAAGTTTCAGACCCACATCTCACATCAGATTACACTAATAGGAATGTGAAGGGGGTTGTGAAGTGATCATGGGTCAGTGTTGAAAAGCTCCTTTCAAAACAGTCCTGCCTTAAGTCTTGCTAACTGTTACCTTTGCAGAGTACCCCCCCCGTCTCTCTCTGCTCTCTGTTCTTTCATTCTTTAGCTCTCTCACTTCTTTGTCTCTTTCTTTGTTTCTCCTTCTCTCTTTGCCCATATCTCTTTTATCTCTGTCTTTCTTTCATCTTTCTTTGTCCATCTTTCTCTCACTTCTCTATATCCTTTCTCCTATCTGTTTCTCTCTCTTCGTCTTTGATTTTTCTCCCTCATTTTGTCTTTCATTTATCTCTCGTCTTCTGCCTCTCCCATCTCTGTCTCTCTGTCTTTCCATCCTATTGTTTCTTCTATCTATCTATCTATCTATCTATCTATGTATCTATCTATCTATCTATCTGTCTATCCATCTGTGTTTCTCTCTCATTCTTTTGACGTTCTCTCTCCTTCTCTTTCTCCTCAAGCTTTTCTTCTTTATCTCTTTATCTCTGATTCTGCTTTATCTCTGTCCATCTTTTTCATCCTCCGCGCTCCGTCCCCTCCCTCCCTCTCTCTCTCTGTCCATGACTCAGCCTGCACCTTTGGCTGACCACCAAGTTCTTTACATGCAGACTGCAGCACACGGAGAGAAGGGAAGAAAAAAAAAAGAAAAGCCTGCATTCATCCGCCCACTGCTGATTCCTGCGGCCAGTACCGTAATCACACATAAACACAAACACAGTGCTAGCATCTGCGTTTTTTTTGCTGATCTGTTAACAGCTACTGCAGCACAAATGATAAATTTAGCCATTGAGAATAAATAGTGAAGCTGTTCCCAGATCAGTGCAGTAAAAACTCTCGGCTGGAAACATTCACTCTGCTTCATTTCCTCTTTAATGATGTCTAATGATAGCTAAGTGAATTTAGAGTCTCCACACTCCACATCACGCCGCTCTTTCCTGCCTTGTCATTTACCTTCATCTAACCTTTTAGTAGAATTCAGTTGGGACTACATTTCCCATAAAGCTGTACAGGTTTTGATTTGGATCTATGAAGTCATAGTGGGGAAAAACTGAAAGGTTTCCAGCCTGGGGCTTGGTCTGCAGCTGGATGCTACTGGACCCGAATTGGAACCAACAGAACTTACGGTTCTAGTTCATTTTCTACTTGCCTGAACCATTATAATGACTACGATTAGCAATTATTAGACATTTTATGTCACTCGAAAGCATCTAATTGCCTTTCTAGCTAGTGAGCTTAACTTACTAGTCACTATGAAGCAGAATACTGCATTGTTCTGCACTCACACAAAATTAATGTGTACATTCACACGGTCAGGTGTAGAATCAAACAAATTTTGAAATTATTCTGTTGAATGTGAAAACATGACCAAAAGCAGTCATTCTCTGGAGGCTAGCATAAACTGTTAGCATTAGCTTCTTGACTAGCTTTTATTATCTTTACAAAGTAATAACTCTAAAAATAGCAGCCCACACATCAGTATATAATTATAGTTTACCTTCCAGTGCTCTTATTGGTGACGTAATAATGCTTGGTGACTTTCTTCACCTGAAACAGTAAAGAATTAAGTAAATTGTCTTCAGCTTCCACAACTCTGTCTGCCTTTGAAAGCTGAGAGTGGGGGGGAAACTCAGTTTTGTGGCTGAGAACATTTGACATCACTAGGGGACAATAATGAAAAAAGTCCTTTTAATATGCCACTAAATAAGCACAAGGTCATGGTCAAGGTCGCCATGTTACTGTAATTACTGTTAGTAGTAGTAGTAGTACAGTTGTAAATATATACAAGCAAATATTTAAATGAGTAAAAAACACAGTCAGTTGACAATTTTAGTAGATCAAAAAACCATACGACTTATTGGTCAACTAAACGGCTCGAAGTTCAACCACTGTGAGCCAACAGGAGCCTGGGGTCATGAAGATGTTCCAGCAGCAAGCCTGGTGAGAAAAACGAAGAATGACCAGCTGCTCCAGTCTGTCTGTTCAACAGCTGGCAAATCCTGGCTGTGGGATTGAGCCCATTTACAAGACTGTAAAATACCACCCTCTAGAAAAATAGCACTTGGTCTTTGGACTGAAACGTTGCTCTGCCATGGTTTTTCTGATCTCCTGAGTGTTGCCTAGATGTTTTGGAGCAAGCAGACCAAACATAATTGTATCTTACCAGACAGACGCTGTAATCAACACCAAACACAGGCAGAAACCTCTTACAGCCTCTTTAGCATTTATTTAAACCTTCAGGCTTTTCTCAGGAGAGATCCATCACCCTGGTAACACATGCTTGTTTCAAAATGGACCCCAGCATGCATAATTTAGTTAGAAATATGTTAATATTCATGAAATAGGCATTAATTTCTATTCAAATAGTGATACTGAAATCGATCAGTACCAATACTGATCCAATAAACTGCTAAGCTATAAATTAGTCTATTTCTAATAGGGGCGTTTCACTAAAAGAATCCCTCTCACTTTTCTGCATAAATCTGCATAAATTAGTGGTTGAGATGTAAACAAAGTCATTCAGAGTGGTTTCTGTGAAGGAGCTTTGAGAGGTGGACATTTTTTTTTTTCTTTTAAATTTTAAAGAAATTTAGAAGGATCAGTTAAATTTTCTTTTAAGGTGGTCATTTTAGAAGTAAACTGCTTAAACTTTCTACTACTTGCTTATGCCAACAATACGACACAGTTGGATTCAAATTAACTCTAAATGTAAAAAAAAAAAAACGCTTACAACATAAATTTGCATGAAATAAGATTATTTAAAATAAAGCAATTGTGATTCTTAGCTAGGTAACCATTGTTCTTATGTTAACCTTTAGCTGTAAGTGGCTGCTTTAGTTGCTTTAGCTTATGTTATGCTCCTAGCATTTAAAGCTGGGACACTTCAAGTCCTCCAGTTTCTGCCGATATTGTCACCACACTAGTTGGTTTGCCCCGCCTGCTCTGTTATCTGGCCACATCTGTGCAAGAGATTTTTATGGTTGTGCTTTGATCTCAATGTTTTTAAAAATTGCATGTCATCATTACATCTTAGTGATATAGTCTCTCTCTCTCTCTCTCTTTCCCTTTGGTCAGTACAGTAATGGTTAGCTATTATTGTTAATTAGGTTGACTTTCTAATTAGTTGCTCTTTTGTTCAGTCAAACTGGTGAACAGCGACGGAACAAAGAGACGTTTAATGGAACACAAACGGTTCTGAGACGGAACAGGAAAAGAGTGGGGGGAGGGGGTAGTCACCACTTCCAGATTAATGATGCAGAACTGTTGATCATAACAGAGGGAGGGGGGGGGGCAGAGAGAAAGAAAAGATGGGAGAAGAACAGAAAGGGGCAGAGAAATGTGAGATGGAGAGAGAGAGAGAGAAGAAGAGCAGGAGCTAGATGGTAGAAGATGAGACATAGGACAAGAAAAGAGGTAGAAGCGTTAGAAATAGGAGAAGTAAGCGAAGAGAAATACATAGGCTAAGAAAGAAGAGAGATTGGATGAGAGAGAGAGCATGGAGAAGAGAAAAGAAGGGGAGTGAGATCAGAGAAGAGAAAGGAGTTGGAAGAGGGAGAATGATAAAAAGACAGACATGAAAGTAGAAAGAAATAGAATGAGATGAGACTGATAGAAGAGAGAAAGAAAATGGTGAAAGATGGGAGGATGAAAAAAGAAAAGAGAAAGAGCTGAAATCAGCTATATTATGGACTGTAATGCCTATTACTCCTCATACTAAACGTTTCATTTATTTATCATTTTTATCTTTTTTTTATTTTTATTATTTTTTTTTATAATTGTTTCTAGTTTTATTGCCTTTGATCCAGAAGTTCTGGACTCCAGATGATAACCTCTCCTCCAGATTATAACCTGCTGAATGACCACGGGACTGTTTTTGTTCCAGTTTCCTCCGAAGTTAAATTGAATTCAGCTGTTTTAATTAAATCAGGCGAAAATGGTCTTTGGTCTCACAGATGAATCTGAGAGATTTCTGTTATTACAGCAATCAATATCCAATCTATCATCTGTGAAGAAGAAGAATGTGTTTCCTGAGTCATTAGAGCTGGCCGATCTTTCTTACAGAATCACTGTGAATATTAGCTGTTTGATTTACGCTCCGTGAGCAGCAGTAATTACTGTATCTTAAAGGAAAAGTCAGAATGATAAATTAAATTGTGTTAGAAAGAAAATGAAATACCTCCACTATTCATTTGGAGCTTCTTTGTTTGTCTGTTATTTAACATTTAAATTGCCAGAATGTTTGTCAAAGCATGTCTCAATTCATTTCGGGTCTGTTTTTCTGTTTCTCTTCCCGTCTGTCTCTGTTCAGTGTTTGCGGACGTTAGTTGGTCACACCGGAGGCGTCTGGTCGTCTCAGATGAGGGACAATATCATCATCAGTGGCTCCACAGATCGAACTCTGAAGGTGTGGAACGCAGACACAGGAGACTGTATCCACACGCTGTACGGACATACCTCAACTGTGCGCTGCATGCACCTTCATGAGAAAAGGTATGCTAACGATGACACAGCAACTAGTTCTACATGGGACATTATAAGTCTTCTACTTGAGAGTGAAACTCTGTATCAGGGAGGGTCTCAGCTATCTGAATGTTTTCTCTACATGATAGATGAGGGTGGGAGGAGGGACTGAAAAATTATATTTTTAAGTGATTCCATGTTTTCATCATATATATGTGACCGTTTTCTTGTGACAAACTGATTGTTTTCACAGAATGCACTGACTTTGAGTGGATGCTCGCTATAATATGTATAATGTCATGTGATTTGACTGTAGGTCTCCTTTTTGCTCCAAATCAAACCCCCAGCCCCTCAACTCACAGAGCAGTAAAAGGCTGGTTGTAGTGCTGGTGTGTTAGTATACGCACATTACAGCAGCGCACATTGTCTTTTTGTGTGTGTGTGTGTGTGTGTGTGTGTGTTTTTTTTTATTGCCATCTTTTATTCTCTGTAGACACAGAACATAAATGCATCGGTGATTCTGTTCAGCCCCTCTTGCCTGCAGGCCATTGTGTGAATCTGGTGACTGCTCATTCTGTTGAATGACCTGAAGCCCAGCTCACTTCACTGACCACCGAGTCATTTTCATTTTTATTCCCTCCGGTGACCATTTTTCGCATGAAGAGCACGCCGCAGCAATAAATAAATAAATAAATGAAAGGGCCGTCAAATGATTATTAAAATTGTAATGTAATCATGATTAATCGCATTGATTTGTGTAGTTAATCTTTAAAAGCCTTTTAAAAGCTGTATTTGAGCAAGTGCACTACTATCAGCGAAATAAAAAAAAAATTGAAAATGTGTTTTTTTAACTGTGTTAGTGGAGTTAATAATTTGTGATTTTAACCCCTTAATGTAATAATACAGACTAAGGCTTATTATTCAGTAACTACAGAGACTTCATTGCAAACTGGCTGAGCTATTGTTAGGTTATAGAAGTGTGTATTAAAACTTTGGCCAGTCAGTGGGCCCTGGCCATCTAAGGCATTAACACATTAGTAATATGTTACCAGATAGTCCTGTGACCAGTGTAAGTATTGGTGGTGGAGGACGTGGTTGGGAAAAAGCCTTCATTTCATGCTCATGTTAAAAGTAAACAGAAAAGAAGACTCCAATATGCAAATGAGCTCCCTAACCAATCACAATGTTGTTTATGTTCTGCGACCATCCCGACACAGTTCTGTGGGTGGTTTGTTGAATCAGTGCATTTGTGTAATCCAACAATTCCAACAATTCCACCAGCTTTACTCGTTTTTTTTTATTTATTATTATTAATTCAGTGTTTGAGATGTCAACAAAGTCATTTAGAGTTTTTTATTTGTAACGTTGATGATGTTAAATCAGTGGTTAATCTTAAGAAATAAGTGAACAGTTCTGATGAGGTAAGTTTCTCTAGAATGGAGCATTTCGCATAGAACCACTTTGAATAACTCCGGCTACATCTCACCCATTTAATTAAGTGGAAATTTGGAGAAATCATTGCGATTTTACTTTTACCTTTAACTATTACATTGAATTACATTTAAGTTACATTGCTGATACACAATCAGATCATGCTAGGGTCTTTTGTTCATATTATGTAGCCTTAATGTAAATGCATATTATTTAATGTTCTCTCTCTCTGTGTCTCTCAGGGTGGTTAGTGGATCTCGTGATGCGACGTTGCGCGTGTGGGATATAGAGACGGGTCAGTGTTTGCATGTTCTGATGGGTCATGTGGCAGCGGTGCGGTGTGTCCAATATGATGGCCGGAGAGTGGTGAGCGGAGCGTATGACTTCATGGTCAAAGTGTGGGACCCAGAGACCGAAACCTGCTTACATACACTGCAGGGACACACCAACAGAGTCTACTCATTACAGGTGAGATGCCCACGCTATTACAATCTATAGAATAACCATGTGGATCACATGATGGAGCTCCCTTAGAATAAAATAAAAGTCATATCGCCCCCTACACTTCATGTAGGGTACTACAATCTGTCAGAATGACTGTGTGGATCATATGAACATTATAGAGCATTCATCTTTGCAGTCCTGTCTCAGTCTGTTTCCTGGAGACTTCATGCAGTGCTTATGGTCCATTAATACACCAACTCATGAAGGGCTTAAATCAACAGAGAAAATACTAAAATGTTCAATGTCCATGCTTATAAGTAGGTTCCACTGCCAGATTCACCAGTTAAGCTGTTTATAAAAACAATAGCATTATCCTACCTGCCCTCTAATGTGGAAATGCAGCTTTCTGCATGCGATGACTGTGCAGTTTTGTTTTGTTTTTTTTTTGTGAGGGCATCACCTTCAAGGCCCCAGCAGGCGTTTTCCTGCAATGCAGATTAAAGGACAGATCAGCCTTCTGCTCAGACCTTCAGCACTTTTGCAGTGTTTGGTCAGGTGGGCAGATTAAGGAGAGCTTTCTGGGCTTTTACATGCTCCTCTCAAAGCACAATACCATATTATCATTATATTGCTGTATAGTGTGCTTGTGATATCTTGCAGTATATCCAAAAAAATAATTCTCATTTTTTTATGTCATTTGAGCACAGCTACTGTTCTTCACATTGTGTGAAAATTTCATGATAAATGGGGCAATAGAAATGCTGCAAAATTTCTTTAACTTACATTAAAACATTTTTGCCTTTTTGCCATTTTGGAGATACTTTAACAATATAAAAAACACACTGGGGTAACAAAGTTAAATCGTTCTTGCCCAGCAATTAAGTTTGCAAAGATGAGAAACTTACAATTGATCTACAGTGCTGAATTTTGTATAGATATATATTGGATGGACATCTAACATTACTTCTTTGATTTTTTTTTTTGTTTCATTTTATTTGGAAAAACACTATAGGTACTCTACAGATGTATAAAATTCCTAACCAAACTATCTGGTGTAACGCAGGGTTTGGACTAGGACCAGAGTTAAAGAATTAGGCTTTTAATTAAGGTTGTGTGAGGTCCAAGGTTAGGGAAAATTCAATCAAATTTAATATATTCAAGAGTTTGTCACAAAGGAGGAGAAACAATTATACTACACAATTAAGTACAAGTCACTGTGTAAACACTATGTAAATACTAGGTAAAAAAGGGAACTAAATATTGAAGAGTAAGAAAATATATGTAAGTACTGCACAGTCTCTACTACGCAGTCTGTGTGCGTCTGTGACAAAGTCTAATAGACATAAATACAGAGCTCTGTTGTATGTATACAGTATACAAAATGAGTGCAATCAAAAATAGTCTTTAGTACTGTGCAACAGCAGCTTTTTATTCAGTAGCACAATCAAATGTCCTTAACATATACATATATATGTGTATACCATTTCCCAACCCATTTGGTCCAGATTTTTACTCCATCCAACCTCATAACGCACAGGCATGAAGGAAAAAGGTCTGGGTTGGAAACCGCTAGCATGCACGGTAGGGGTGCGGGAAAAAATCGATTCTTAGATGCATCGCGATGCGGACGTGAACGATTCTAAATCGATTTTCTAAATATTTAATTTATAACGTAATGTTGACGGAACGCAAAAGGCGGAACTTGGAAGTGGGTAAGGGCAGCACCCGGACAGTCTGTGGCGGCACATAACAAAAACACAACTGGATGAGCGAGAAATCCGACCGGCACCCTCTGCATTAAAGGCCAGGTTAGGTCAGGAGTCACAATCCAAATGTTAAGAAGAGCCATTTTGTCCTTTCAACAAAAATCAAACCACCTTGGGAGTTTAATTTCCTAGTATAGACTAAAGAATATAAACAAAAACGCAGATTTACTTTGCTCTGCTTTAAGCTTCAGCTATAGCCACTTTCCTCCCATCTCCACCAGAAAACTTTTCCTCAGAAGTAGATCAGTTGAAAGTCTCTCAACGTTCGACTGTTTCACAAGGCTGAAGTCGCTTCTTATTCTCCAGCTTCTTGTTCGAATTTACCCATTCCACCGTAAATTCTAACTGAACCGTTTAAGGTAGAACTGGAGAATTCGAAAGAGAAGCGACTTCATCTTCGCAACTTTTCAGTGTGTGACAGTCTCTCGTTGCAGATTTAACGTACCAGGAAATCAACTGCAGTGCTTATAAATGCGAATAACGCATCGCTGCTATGTGACCAGCGGTCTGCACGCCGGTTCTCAGTCGTTGCGAAACAGGGCTTTCGCGTTATGTTTCACACGTCCCGTCTCAAAGATACTTTACTGACACAGCGACCCCCCCCCCACCACAAGCACTTCAATGCATAAATGTCCTGACATGTTGTGCAAATGACAAATAAACTTGAAACTTGAACTCGAAACTTGAGCTCACACAGTGAGAAAATATAAATGCTATATAGAAAAAAAAGATGCATCGAGATGCATCGATAATCGTTTTATAATCGCATCGCAGCCCTCTGAATCGTAATCGAATCGTGAGGTACCTAGAGATTCCCACCCCTAATGCAAGGTGACAGTGTACATATTTTTCACCTAGATTATTTACGTCTATTGTGAATACCTTGATTCACCAAAACTGTCTGTGATTGGTCAGGATGCTCACAGCACACAATAAACCACTGTGATTCGGCTCTGTGAAGACTCAGTTGCGTATTGCAGCCCTAAAACTAAATGGAAAATGCAATTAATAAGAAAAATTTTAAAAGATTACATAATACAATAACATGCTGTGCAGCCCTAGTTTCTATTTTGAATGCAAGTACAGCAGATGGGGTTTTGTTCCGAATACAGCAACGTTCTCTGATGTTCCGTCTGTTAGCATGGAAGTTCATGTAGAGTGCTCAGTCATGCCGGCCTGCTTGAAGGTGTAAAATGTTGAGCACACTTCTAACATTTCCTGTAAAGAGTTTGATGTCAGCGCAGGGGGGTTTGTTTATTTGCTTTCCACTGTTTCGTAACGCCCTGAATCGGCGATTTCGACATTCATCCCAAAGAACGCAATGGATAAGTGGCGTTGGCTCATTTGGGTTTCGGGCCGTCATCCAGGTTTCAGCCCCAGCATCCTGCTCTGATCATTTGGGTCTGGGTTGTTAAGAGCTTTAGAGCAATTACATTAGAAAAGTTTAATCAAATAAAGTAGCATTTAATACAATAAGAATGGGAGTGAGCGGATCTGGGCTTTAGGCCATTGAGTCTCGTTGTGAAATGAATCGAATCAAATCCACCCCAGTCCGCCCACTGCTCCTCAGAACTGCTCGTTAGGTCCTTTCACAGCACAAATACTGACACAAGACGCCTCGCTGTGAATACATACTCAGTAACGAGTTTTTACTGCATGTATTGTAATAATAATCCTCGTAACAATAACCTACATTAATCTGCACTTCAGTAAAGCTTCCGTAGCGAAAGAACGGCTTAATGTGGGCAAAGACACTAGATAGTCTGGAAAATTGGCACAAAAAATATTAATAAACAAATCAATTATTCTCATATGTAGCCTTTGTTTGTCTGGTGCCCCTAGTATGAAGATTAGGGATATAAAAGTAATTGATCTTAAGGCGGCAATTCAAGTTGTTTATAACTTAATGCATTCATAAAAGTCTCAGCCTGATTATAAACATAACAATGCATAGAAACACTATCATTATTATTATTATTGTGATGATTATTATGATGATGATCATGATGATGACTGGCTCAAATGGGATTTTCTAACTTTTTTTATTGTCCATATTATGAGCTCCATATATTATGTATTTATATCATATATATATATTTCCACATAAAGATCTTTGCTGTGTAAATTTATTACACTTAAAATGTTATTCTTTTTGTTACCATCATTATTATTATAGTGTAAAACGGATCTGAGAATGGTGGTATAGCTGCACTGATTTTGGAATGTTGGAATTAATATTAATAATCTAAAAGTCAATTAAATATGCGCTCAGTTTTATGGCCAAAGTAAAATTTTCAAACAGAAAAATAACATTAATCTTCTTCTTAGTGTATATGTATTCCATAACTGTGTAAATAGTTCCTTCAGTTACGTTTGTTTATTCTGTACTTTTGAGAAATGATTCTGAATCAGACCGAAGGAGACAAATTGAATCATACTGAAATGGGAGATTTCATGATTCACTAAATCAACTCCTAACGAATCATAATAGAAATTAATCATTGAAGCTCTAATATGAATGATTGTTAGGCCGCGTTGTCTGTGTTTGTGTCGTTATCATTAGGTCGTATTGAAGATGTTCATTGATAGTCATGCTGTCTCTTTGCAGTTTGACGGTATTCACGTGGTGAGTGGGTCTCTGGACACATCAATCCGAGTGTGGGACGTGGAGACGGGGAACTGCATCCACACCTTGACAGGTCATCAGTCTCTGACTAGCGGGATGGAGCTGAAGGACAACATCCTGGTCTCGGGGAACGCCGACTCCACTGTCAAAATCTGGGACATCAAAACAGGCCAGTGTCTGCAGACCCTACAAGGTGAGAAAACTCAACCACTCACTGTACTGCATGTTTCTCTCTCTCCCTCTCTCTCACTCTCTTTCTCTCTCTTTCACCCTCTCTCATGCTTCCTTTTTCTCAATTTCTTTTCTCGTTCTCTCTCACTTTCTCTGTCTTCCTCTTTCTCGATTTCTATTCTCATTCTCTCGTTTTTTCTCTCTTGATTTCTCTCTTCTTGTTCACTCTTGCTCTAGCTTGCTTGATCTCTTTTCCTTGCCCCTCTGCCTCTCTCTGTCTTCTCTTTTCTCCCTTCCTCCTTTTCTCTTTCTTCTCTCACCGTCTTTAGCTCTCTCTCCTGCCTCTCTCTCACTTTTCCTATCACTCTCTCTCTCTCTCTCTCTCTCTCTCTCTCTCTCTCTCTCTCTCTCTCCCCCCCCTTAAATTTTGAAATGAATTAATTTTTTTTTCTTGTTTTTTTTTTTGTTGAGTTTTTCTTTCTAAAGATGCGTTGTGTCTTGTTTGAGCTTTATTATTATTCTTTATTATTTCTGATGGAACGAAAGATACAGAACACAATCAAGACATTTTTTATTATTACTTTCTCTTCCTCTTGCATTTGGGAGTGGGGTTCATATTTTCATCATCTGTCCTTGTGTATGTTTGTGTGTGTCAGCGTGTCTACAGTGTATATCACTGTGTGTATATCACACACACTCACTCCAGTACGAACAAAGCCGTGTGTGCTAACGAGCAGCACAGAATGACAGAGCGTGGAGGATGAGTGGAAAGAGGGGTGAGGGGAGGGGGAGGGGTGGAGATCCCCAGAGGGAGAGAAAAGAAGGAATTTTCTCCTTCATCATTTGTAGGTCATGTATTTGGGTCAGTGGGCATTTCCTCCTTTCACCTTTATTTAAACAGATCTCATTTAAAACAGCACAATTTAAACTGTTTTAAATACAGAACACTTAACCTTCATTAGCTTTCAGTTAATATTGAAACAGTGGCTCTGAAAGTTCATACATTTAATCACATTTAATATAGTGTTTAAATAGAACCATTGCCTATATAAATAAATATTTTAAATAATTAAAATAGAAAATGTAGTATATATTGAATTTTATGAGAGTAATTTTGTTTGATAATTTACGAAGTGAAACTATAATAAAGAAATAATAAAGTAATACAGCTATTAATACTTTATATATATATATATATATATATATATATATATATATAATATAATATAATATTTTAATATATGAAGAATTAAATAAAAAGAAAATATATTTTATATGATTCATTTTATTTTTAATTCTAAAACAATAATGTAATAACAATAACAAAGATTTTTACATATATGTTTTTTAGTCATATCTTATTTTTCGGTTTGTTTCTTTAATTAATGCTACATTTTATTCTGTTTTTATTTCAGCATGTTTTTTCCCTTTTGCATATGTTGTTTGTATGTCAACCTATCTTTTTTAATCTTTTGGTAAAACACTTTGTAGTTTGTAATTAGTTTTTTTTAAAGGTCCTATATAAAATTATAAAAGTTGCTCTCTCTCTCTCTCTCGCTATATATATATTATATACTACAATGAGCTGTATTACATTTGCACCCCCGCCACACGCACTCCTTCTGAGGGAACACTGAAGTGATAGACAGAGCAGATGATAAAGAGAGAGAGCGAGAAGTGTTTGGTTGTTTTTTTTTTGTTTTTTTGTTTTGTTTTTTTTTGGAGTGGGGGGGCGGGGTGTTGTGTGTTTAGTGTGTGTTACTGTGTGATGATGTAAACAGCTGATTAGAGTCGGCCGTCTTCTCGTTCACTCACTCAGAGCTCCAGTCAATGCTCTAATGCTTCATTAGTAGATTTAGTCTCTTTGAAATGGAAATCTTCATTTTAATCTTTCGTAGACTCCAGCAACACTGAATCACTGTATTTAAATATTCATAATCTCATTTGCATAATGGCTTTCTCTGTTTTCATTTATTTCTGTTAATCAGAATTGTGTGTTTGCAGACGCGTTGAGCTTTGAGTGTTTTACAGGGATCAATACGATGAACAGAGGCTTGAAACTGGGGCTGGGATGATACACGGGTTTGGAATATCGATAAATGGGGTCAAATTTATTGTTAAATACAGGTTTGTTACAGTCACATAATCTGTATATCTGGGGTTTAGTTTTATCCCTGTCAGAGGCGGTGCTTTAGAGCCTCAGCTCTGTGTTCATTGAGTTGTCATTGATATATTTTTTTCCCCACAATTGTTTTTTTCCCCTCTACTGCTACTGCTAGCTGCAAGCCTCAGTATGTAAATTATTTATTTTTTGATTATTATTATTATTTAAAATTAGATTGCACTTGATGTGAAGTTTTCAGTGCAATAAAAAACACATCCTCTGTTTTCATCCATAAAAAAACAGGTGTGAAAAGTCCCCACAATATCTAAATATTAAACTAAAATTAAGAATGAACACTTAAGTGCTTGTAACGGTGTTATGACAATGAGATTACAACTCACGGCTCACTGGGAACTCACTGTTGTGTCTGTGAAACCAGGACTGGAATTAGAGATCACAGACTGGAGCACAGAGAGCTCACTCATACAAAGTGGAAAGAAAAAAACAATCAATTCCACTTTCAGTCTCATGGCTGTTTATAGATAATTATTAGTAAATGGACAAGTGATCTGAGCCCTGACTGAAACACAGACACAGGGATATATGAGCTTTGTTGACGCTGCTGTCAATTATGGCAGCAGGACACGCCCACTTTATTCTCCACACTGACAGGACAATATGTTCACACATATTCCTCCCTCCATTTTATTTTGTCTCTCCTTTCTCTCTTTCTACTCTTTCTCTTCTCCAGTGTCCCTTTCTCTCTCTCTCTCTCTCTCTCACTGTGTCTCTCAGTAAAGCCGTCTCGATTTGATACCTCAAGGGCACTAAAGCCATTCTACAGTGCTACAGTGTTTTCTGTAACCATGGTTACGTATTTTCTCTGAGTTGATGTTTTTATTTTTTAATGTCAGTGCTGTAGCCAGTAGGTCTGATTAGCTCATCCATCCATCATATCACTAAAAAAGTCTCTCTTTCCCTCTCTGTCTGTCTGTCTGTCTGTCTGTCTGTCTCTCTGCAGGTCCCCATAAGCACCAGAGCGCGGTGACGTGTCTGCAGTTCAACAAAAACTTCGTGATTACCAGTTCTGACGACGGTACGGTGAAGCTGTGGGATCTGCGGACGGGCGAGTTCATCCGGAACCTAGTAACGCTGGAGAGTGGGGGGAGCGGCGGTGTGGTCTGGAGGATCCGCGCCTCCAACACCAAGCTGGTGTGCGCCGTGGGCAGCCGAAACGGCACGGAGGAGACCAAGCTGCTGGTGCTGGACTTCGACGTGGACATGAAATGAAAACATTTATGGATTATCCATCACCACGCTGGCGGAGAGAGAAAAAATATATATAGATGAACCGGGAGGGGGAGGAGTCCAAAAAAACCTGAACTGGGCCTCCTCGCGCAGCTCCGCGGCAGGACCCATCGCTCGCTCGCTCACTGTATCTCATCCTCCTCCTCGACCTGCCGTGCCATCGCTCGTGGGATGCCCCCTTAGCAACCGTCGCCATGCAGCGAGGTACGGTAGGGGGGTGGGGCCTCTGCAGCAGCACAGCATTCTGGGAAAGGAAAGGCACAGACAAGGAGGATGCTGGGTTAAACGGGGGCGGAGCTGCAGCGGCCTTGCACAGAGACTTGGTGAAATTCAAGCCTGACGATGTACAAACATACAGCTTATTTTTCTTTCCTCTTTTTGTTTTCTTGTTTTTGTTTTTTTAATCTGAACAAACAGTCAACACTGTATGCATGGTGAGAGAGTGGAGCCTCAGTGGTGAATGGGTGCAGTTTTAACAGGAAAAAAAAAGCAGAACTGATGGAAGAAGGGGTGATTTAAATGTGAGGATTCAAACAAACAAAGGAAGCCAATCTTATCAGTCCTGACTAAGCAGGAGCCCACTGTTTTTTGTTTTTTTTGTTTTTTTTTCCCCACTGCGTTGTCATTGTTAAATTTTTTTCCCCCCACATTTGTTTTTTGTTTTTCTTTTTTCATGAGTTCGACACAACTGTGAATTCAAAAATTACTTTTTTTTTTCCATTCTTTTCATGTTTTTTTAGTCCACTGTTGCCACTAGCAACAAGGCTCAGTATTAAGCTAGATCACATTTTTTCTGTTGATGCTGTTTTCTCTGGTTTTGTTTTTTTTTTATTATTATTATTCTGTCATATTTTTTTTCCTCCTTTGCAGAAAGACGATGTGCCCTGCTGTCCTCACGTGTCAAACCAGGCTGCTCATGTTGGCTCTCCTCAGTACTGGTGCTTCATGGGAGATGGGGACTTTTTTTTGGTTAATTTTTTGTTTTGTTTTCACCCATTATCCCCATGGGTACCCCCCATATCCTCCACCCCCCCAGTGGCCAAACTGAACTTAATGCTGCTAGACACAAATGATGAGGTGGAACTGTTGTTTTTTTGTTTTGATTTTTTTTTTTGCTGGCTGTGACGTTTTAGTCCCAGACTAGATGCTAAAATAAATGTACTTCTAAAGTTTGGACTTACAAATAAAAAAATGACACAGACATGCATAAAAAAAAAACGAGATATGTAAACAACAAACTTTTTTTTCTTTTGTTTTTGTTTGTTTTTTGCCACTGAAACTTGAGCCAAATGTGCCTCTACGAGGCTGAAAAGAGGGAGAATGTCAGACGAGACGACAAGAAAACCTGAACTATTTTGACAGTGTGTGTTTGCTAGCAAGACTGTGTGCGTGTATATTCGTGTGAGAGAGTGTATGTTGTTCGCACCACATTCCTTGGGACAAAAGCTTATCAGCCTGTTCTGTGAGGAATTCTTTAATTTGACAGATCTATGAAAATAATACAGCGTTTAAAATTAGACATCGTCTGTCCACATAAATTTAGCCGGTCGCTTCCAGGGTTCACTCAGAGATGGAGTAAGAGAATGTGGAGAACGTGCCACCCGAAGCTTCATCAGAGACGTTCCTGCCGTCTACGTAGAAGAAAAAAAGAACGCCAAAAAGACCACAATTCGTCTCATTCTCCGTCAAACACAACTCAAGCTGAACTGTGAAAGTGGTTTAAACACTGTATATTACGATTAAAAAGAAAACTTGTTCTTTCTCCTCTCTTTTATTTATGATCTGGTTTGAGAAATCAGATGTTGGAGGTGTTTTTTTTTGTTTGTTTTTTTTTGTTTTTTTTATATATTTTTTTCCCTTCCTCAGTCCATGTAAAACTGCCTGATGTTCACAGACAGACAAAAAAGAAAACCTTAAAGGGATTGTCTGTTTGTTTGATTCACTTAGAATTTTTATTTTCTTATAACTTAAGTGCAATAAAAATGTGGGGTTTATTTTCTTTCCTTTTTTTCATTTCAAGCTTTTTTGGTTGTCTTTGTTTGTCACTGTGTGAAAGTGTCATATGTGCCCAATAAAGCTTCTATGGTTTATTGTACTTGTGAATGGATTATTTTACAAAAATGGCAAGAGAGTCAGGTTCATATTAAGCATAAAAGCTTCCCTTTAAGGGGCCCGTTGTAGAGACTCTTTACAACGAAGGTGAAGTGGGAACCAGGGGTTGCGATGTCTACAACACAAATAGACATTTACTATCTAAAACCATCAGTGAACCTATATGAGCCTTCTGAGTTTTTATATGTAATGTTGATGATAAAAAATAAGAATGTTATCTTTGGGGACTAAGAATGGACTTTAGAAATTATATTTTAGACCAAAACTATTGTAAAACAAAGTCTCAGACATCAGTGAAATAGCCATTTTATGTGATGACTTTCTGTGAGGGGGCTTTTAGAGGTGGACGTCTTGTTTCCGTCACTACCGAGTATTTCACACCAAACCAGTCTGAATGACTTTGTTTACATTTAATCATGCAGAAAACTTTAAAAAACGATGAAACTCCTCTTTAAAGGGACACTCCAGCCAAAATGAGAGGAAGTACAAGGTCAGTGTTTCTAATAAAGTGGCCAGTGAGGGTAAAATGTAATGAAAATGTGAAAATAACCTGTTTGGCTTTGATCCTCAGCAAGAAAACGGACGTTTGTGCTATTTGGAGACACGAGGCCATTCATTCATTTATTAATCCATTCATCTGTTTATCCTTCCTTCAGCTGTGTGCTGCGTCACGTTCGTGCTGAAACCAGTGAAGCAGTGGCGCCTGAGCGTTTGCGTTCTGCTGTTGCTTAGCAACGCAGCCGAGTTTCGTTTCTGTGGCAACTGCAATGACGTGGAATATTTTTTTACTTTTTCACAACTACAAAAAAGTACAATAATAAGAATAAAGACTGAACAGCAGCATAATAAAGAATAAGGCAACAATATGATTAAAACAATACTAGAAAATACTTTCATACAGTTTTTTTACAGTAATGTTACATGTAAAAGTTTTCATGTCTTCGGTTTTTGGACTTAAAAGTTTTAATAATAATAACCCGTATGTTCTAAAATGAACAGTTTCTTTTAATAGTTTTATTGTAAATCAAAAAGCTAATGAAACACATTCATTTATTCAGTGTTGTCATTAGATGTTATTCCAGCATTAATATTTTGTTTAAAATGAACTAAGAAGATTATCCTTATCATAAAGTTATTCAGGTCAGTCCAGATGTGGGTGGACGAACATTTCCAAAGGAGCATGCCCAAAGGGAGATCAAGCTGCACTGCTTAACTTGCTTTATTGATAAATTTCAGTAATACTCCCCCTTCTCTCATTTCTCTCTTCTCTCACTCTCTCCTCTTTCTCTGTCTGTTTTCTCTTTATCTCTTTTGCTTTCTTTCTTCCTATGTTCCTCTTCACTCTTTCTCCTCATTTTCTCTCTCTCCTCCCTGGCTCTCTCCTCCTCTTCCTCCTCTCACTCTCTTTTCCCCTTTTTTCACTATCACTCTTTCCCCTTTTCTACTTCATGAATATAAAACTGAACATAAAAATGGTTTTCTTAAGGTTTTCACCTTGGAAGTGGTGGGTGTAGCCATAGTCATAATAATAACAACAACAACAACAAAATAATAACGATAATAATAATAATAATAATAATAATAATAATAATAATAATAATAAATATTTTATATTTTAAGCTGTCTTAGCTTTTTTTAGGGAGGGCGGGGGGGGGTGGGGTGTATTTTACAATTACCACTATCACCACTACTGTAAGTAATGCTCGGTAAGTTTTTCTAGAGCATTTTGCACCAAACCACTCTGAATGACTTCGTTTACTTCTTAACCGTCGTGTAGAAATTTTGAAAAACTCGTGGAGTTCCCCTTTTAGGCTGATGATGGAGCTGTTCTGTGGGTATTAACGTTACAGGTAAAAATTTTGGTTAGATAACGTTACAGGTGAGACACATAAACAAAACTGTTCATAAAAATATGAAATATACTCAGGGTCTGTACTGCGGTTATATCAACCTACTTAGCACAAACTGTTCAGTGTTGCTATGGAGACGGCCAGCCTGCAGGCTAATGGTTGGTGCTAACACTGGCAGTTATGATACGTTAATAAAATAAACCTAAATAAATTCGTGCACTGTTTTCGCTTCAGTTGTGTAATTTCCAAATGTATATGTCGTTACCATCAAAATTTCTCACTGTAACCATGTTAAAAGTCATTGCGGAGGTGATTTAACTGCAGATTATAACGATTTACTATGTCGCACGTGTAACATTCAGCTAGCAAGAAAGTTTGGCTAAATCCCAAATGCCCCCGTACCCCTGTGTAGTTCACTATGTAGGTCATGAAATAACGGCTTCTACACTCAAACTGTGCAGAAAATATAAAGCCATTTATCTTCAACCGTCAACTGCCTAACCACCCATCTAACATAGCTAGCTAGTGCCCTATTTGGGTGTAAAATGTATAATTTCATGATCTTAGTGCACTACATAGGGATTAGGGAGCCATTTGAGATTCAGCCATAGTGACGAGTTTAAGGAAATGGCTGGAGTTTGAAGTTGGGAATTTAGTTTTACACAGGCCTAGTGCCCCTATAGTTTTACTGAAGAGAATTCTGTTCATAATGCTTTATTCAGTGGGGCAGTGTTTTTAGTGCAGATTGTGACCAATCAGGAGAATTTTGAGAAAGTACTGCTGGATAACAATATTTCCAATGTAAAACTGCCAGCAGGAGAGCAGCCCAGTAGCAGCAACAGCAGAAGAATGCTAAAAGGTAGCTAATGCTAGTTAATACGGTAATTCTGTTCACTTAGCCAGCGTTAAAGTTCAGTTATGAGGTTTAAACAAGTTTATTGTTTATAACGTCTCTGGTAGAGTACACACGTTAATGCCGAGTAAAGTTAGTTATAGATATATTGAGTGTTTATAGGAACATTTTGTATTTAGCTCAGAGTAAGTAGCTAGCTAACTGTTAAATAATTTAGTGTAAGTGGTTTAGGTGTGTTGCATGATTCTGTATATCTGCCTAAACTCTTTAGCCTTATATCCTCTGGAACTCGGCTGATTTATATTGAATTCACTGTGTATAAAAAACATTGAACAATGTTTGGTATGATTTGTAAATTTGCTACATAGTCATAGCAATAATTGCAAATTAATTTATGCCTATGCCGTGTGTATATAGGGGGCTTCATCTGACCACACTTGCCAGACCTGCTCCTCCACACCTGGAGATTACACACAAGACAGTGAGTATTTATGCCACTTTATCATGTTGCGTATTTTCTCCCTCTCTTTGCCAATTTCTGTGAGGAGAAAAAAGTAAACTCCCGCCTTAGTAGGCAATTTAAACCTTATTACTGAAAAAAATCACATATAAAAATAATGATTAGGTATCGCTAATAGTGTTGTAATTCTGCTTGGACAAAGCAGCAGGAATACAACACTATTTCCATTTCACGACAGATATTTGTCTCAGTGTAAAAGTCTTAGCAGTTACCTTTTTTGTCCTGAGATAAAGTGTTTGAAACCATGAAACTACTGTTATGTATACAGAGTAAGGGTGCCCACAGAGGACAAAGTTGAGGACAATCTGAATATAAACACAATACTCTTTTTTAAAAGGAAAGTTACGGAAAACTTGAAGTGACTAATGGTGGCCGATGTTGGGGGCGGCCATCATTGTAGTGGCGTAAAAAATGTAAATAAAAAAAAAAGTGAATATTAACACAACATCAATACTGAAAAAAAATCTTTTCTTGGAGGTCAAATGAATCTTGGACATAAAGATACACACATATCTCTCCTTGAAATCATAAATGTGCATTATTTACAGTTCACTTAGATTACCAATTTTTCATGTTGAGGTGACCGATAGGTGGTGTCTTTACGCTACTTGTACAGAATAATCTAATAACTGCAGGAACACACCTCTTAATCATTGAATTTAGGTGTTTCATTCTGTCCTATTGCCATAGGTTTATAAAATCAAGCACCTAGCCATGCAGTCTGCTTTTACACATTTGTGAAAGAATGAGTCGTTCTAAAGAGCTCACTGAATTTGAATGTGGTACTGTAATAGGATGCCACCGTTGCAACAAGCAAGTTTGCGAAATTTCTTTCTTAGTAGATATTCCACGATCAACTGTGAGTGGTATTATTGAAAAGTGGAAGAGTTTAGAAACCACAGCAGCTCGGCCACGAAGTGTCAGCCTATGTAAAGTTTCAGAGAGGGAACGCTGAGTGCTGAGGAGCGTAGAGCATAAAAGTCACCAACACTCTGCTGAATTCTGTGTTCCAAACCTCCTCTGGCATTAACATCAGCACAAAAACTGTGGCAGGAGCTTCATGGCAGGGTTTCCATGGCTGAGCAGCTGCATGCAAGAATTATATCACCAAGCACAATGCTAAGCGTATTCTGTGGAGTGCCGAATCATGCTTCTCTATCTGGCAGTCTGATGGATGAATCTAGGTTTGGCTAATGCCAGGAAAACATTACCTGCCTGGCTGCTTTGTGCCAGCTGTAAAGTTTGGTGGAGGAGGGATAATGCTATGGGGTTGTTTTTCAGGGGTTGGCCTAGGACCCTTAGTTCCAGTAAAGGGAAATTCTTAACGCTTCAGCATACCAAGACATTTTGGACAATTTTATGCTTCCAACTTTGTGTGAACAGTTGGGGAAGAACCTTTTCTGCTCCAGCATGACTGAGCCCCAGTGCACAAAGCAAGCTCCATAAAGGCATGGCTGAGTGAGTTCGGTATGGAAGAACTTTACTGGCCTGCACAGAGCCCTGACCTACACCTCATCAAACACCATTGGGATGAACTAGAACGGTGATTGTGATCCAGGCCCCCTCATCAAACATAAGTGTCTGACCTTACAAATGCTCTTCTGGATGAATGGGCAAAAATTCCCACAGACACACTCCAAAATCCTGTAGAAAGCTTCCAGAAGAGGTGAAGCTGGTATAGCTGTAAAAGGGGGGACCAACTCCATATTAATGCCAGTGGATTTAGAATGGTACGGTATACACACAAACATAATGTGAAA